GGGGGGGAGTGAGGAGCGACAAGGGCGGGGGAGAGTGGGGCTCCTGGAGGGAGCGACGGGGGTTCATTAAAACATTTGAGATACCAAAAAATGTAAGGGCAACTGAGATACCTTTCCGGTTGTCTTGTGATTATATGTGGGCAACTATCTTACTACATTATGTAATAAAAACTCTTGCAGATTTGGTCAACGAGTACTGATACAGTTCGAGGATTTCGCCAACCTGAATGCTTATCGACTTCTGGATAAATTCCGTAATCAGTACTGCACGTTCAATGATGACATACAAGGTAATCACTCTGATTCCACTTCACTTTTTCATATCAGCACAAAAATCGGGCAAGGCTCAGGCGATAATGTCAGTCCATAGACAGATCCTGTGGGGGGCGAGGGGGGACAAGGGGATGGGGACGATGGGCCTTTCGGCCCTCTTCCCCAACGATACAGGTACCAGTGCCACGAAAGTCTGGGTCTAAGGCTAAAACTGAAAAAAGGCTTCTGCACTCCCGCTTCCCCCCACCGCTTTAGGAGCCTCACTTCTCCCCTCCCCCTCTTTTCTCCAATCGCAGCCGCACCAGGAGGCCCACTTTTCCTCACGGAAGCCATCCTGGATCCGCCTATAGTAAAAAAGCCCTGTAATTTATTCGGTAACTTTTTCCAGAAAGGACCCATTTTTTCTCCTTTTCATTTATTTTGGTACTTGCTTAACTGGGAGAAGGGGGAGGGGGAAGAGGAAGGGAGGCAGGTGAAAAGGCAAATTAGCTTTTTTTTTCGTTACGAAAGTTAAGGATTCGATTTCGTTAGTGGGACACAGCTAGTAATCCTCACACGATCCTCTCATTTTTAATTCATGGTAAATTAGCACCGGAGTATGCCAGGAAGACGAGTCTGCCAAAACTTTGCTTAAAGTATCCCTAAAAACAAGATTTTCTTCGCCATTGATAAAGGAGCGAGTTATGAATTTCTTGAATTGCCTCAGATTTCATTTGTCCAGAGGCAAGAATTTTGACCATTTTGGGCTAAAACAGATTTTTTTTTTCACTCCCAGCTTCCGTTCCTCATCAGGCGACGCACAAAGAATGGAATTAAGCATGAAATGGAAGATTGGGCTCTATTTTGTGTGCTTTTTGGCCTGATCTATCGTTACGATTCAAAAATCGAAGGGCGAAGAGCTGCTAAGAATTCAAAAAAACCACCCGGGGGAGGGGGTCTGTATCTTTCAGTATACATCTACACAACTGCAAATCGCCCGATATGTAAACCTTCAGCTTCGTTCTTTTTTTTTTCCAGGAACAGCATCAGTTGTGGTTGCCGGTTTATTGTCGTGCAATAAAATACAGGAAAGAAAAATGTCCGATCAAACATTTGTATTCTTGGGTGCCGGCGCTGTTTGTTTTTTTATTTTTTGATTTTTTTGGCTTTTGTGAAATTTTTTCTGGTATCTAAGCTCATAAGCGTATAGTGTAAAAAAGTAGCAGGGAACTTTTGTCCGGATAAGCACGGGGGCGATGCGGACTGACCAGCGGATGACTAATCCGACCACGGATGATAATTCAGTAAAGATTGTACAGCTACAGTTTACAAGATGCAGTCTGCGACATGATATGAGGTGCAGCACCAGGACTGCGCTTTCCCTCTGCTCGCTTTTCGGCTAAGAATCGGCATCCAGGGCCAGAGGACGGGGAGGGATGAGAGGGGAGGGGAGGGGTTGAAGGACTACTAAAGATCTCAACTATCCAGCAAATGACTGGTCAGCTACTGAGATTCCAAGCGATCTTGCTACAGCACGAAATAGTCAGCTAATGACCCCAGCCTTTGATATCCTACCTTCTCGCGGTGTTTTTATTAAAAAAAAAATGTTAGGTAAGGGACATTATTTTACTGTTTTTGAAATCTGAAATTGTTTAAAAGATATTTCGCCATTTCGAAAACACAAAAAATTAAGCTAATTTGTCTTCTTTGCCAGGCAGCGACAGGTATTGCCGATTTATGCGCGCTACAAATGGAACATGAAGGTTTGGCGAGAAGTGATGCGCAGGCACGTATCTATCTGATGAATAGCAAGGGGCTGATCACCAAAGATAGCCCAAATTTGAAGGAGGAGCACAAACCATATGCCAAAAATATGGAGCATATGAAAAGTTTATTGGAGGTATTTTTTAATGCTTTTTTTGCATCTATACAATGCAAAAATCTATATTGTCGAAGGGTTTTCTGTGTGCGTGTGTGTGTGTGTGTGTGTGTGTGTATGTGTGTGTGTGTGTGTGTATCTGTGTATATATGTGTACGTCTGTACCGATTTTTCATCTCAAGACCTGTAAAAGCTACAGGGCTGAAACTTTGGGGAGTTAATCGGTATGCATGTGCGGGCCCCTATCTCCAAAGTGGACACTGTTGTGGTTCCCACCCGTGAATGTTTTTTGCAGGTAAGTTGCTAACCCGAGAATCGTTTCCATCGTCTCATCACGATGAGCAGCACCTCTTGTCCCCGTATTGGTAAAACTTTGTCACGTTTGGCTCACAGTCCTGGCATAAATTTGAAAATTTCTTAAAATTTCCCGTAAAAAGAATGTGAAAAATTGAGACAGAGGCTTAAGTTAAGAGATTTCTAGGCTAAGCGCGCGAAGCTGGACCAAAAACACTAAAATATTTTAGAAAACGAGGACAAAATTAAAAAAGAGAAGTGCAATTTTGGTCAGAAAATTGTTATATTTGACACCACACGCAAGGTAGTGTCCCAGAAATGCCGAAATTTAGTCAATGTACGGTGAATTTTAGCAAAAATCTTCGATTTTTTAAAGCAGAGGTTGCTCTATTGATTGTGTGTAATTGTTTTCTTTTTTCTTTGTTTTAGGTAATTCAAAAAGTGAAACCAACGGGTATAATTGGCGTATCGACCGTGCGCGGTGCATTTTCGGAGGAAGTAATCAGGGAGATGTCGCAAATCAATCAACAGCCGATCATTTTTGCCCTCTCAAATCCCACCGAAAAATCAGAATGCACAGCGGAAGAGGCATACAAATACTCCAATGTCCGTTTTTTTTTGGTTTTTCAATCCGCATTCCTGAATTTCTTTGAGAAAATTACTAACTGAAGGTTTGCAGTTCAGGATCGAAAAGCCTGTCATAGCTGCTTCGGGCTTTTAGGACTGTCCTAAGTAGCATCACTGACCCGGGTTACCCATATTGTTTGGTTAAGTGGTCTTGGTACTTTTGGTCCCGAAAATGAATTGTTCAAGAATTGGTTTTTGTCAAAAGAAAATCAGTTCAAACATGATACTGGTGTGTTGCATAAGAGATCATTTTTGAAGCCATGTACTGGATCTTCTCGCTTTTAAAAAAATTTGGCTGGGAAAAATTCATGGCGCTAAAAAATACCATGCAATGCCCTCTCCCCTCCCCTCCCTTCCCCCTTCCTACCCCACAAACGAGTCCATTTTGTGCGGCCAAGCTGAGCCGAATTTTCAGTAAATACCTATTTTTGTGAATAAAAAAAGGTATTTCTTAGGGTTTTTCTTCGTTTCCTGAAAGGGTTATCAACTCAGCATTTCTGACAGGAGTAATTAAGTGAGCAAAATATTACAGTTGCTTATTGTGAATATATTTTTTGTTAAGGGTCAAGCGCTATTCGCTAGTGGAAGTCCGTTCCCGAATCTACGACTAAATGGTAAACTGTACAAGCCAGGACAGGGTAACAATTCCTACATATTTCCTGGTGTTGCACTGGGTATTATACTGTTCCAAGTGCGTCATATCGAAGATGAGTTATTCCTCATCGCTGCCAGAGTAAGAATTTTGAGCTTTTTGATATTCGTTTAATATTTTTCAAGGTCATCCAAATGCCTGTTGACGTTATTATTGAGATATGGGGTGGATTAGCCTTCCTGGAAGAAAACATTTAATCAACCCGAAAAAAGGACCGCAGCACTACAAGAAACTCTACAACCCACGGGGATATTAATTTACTAAGCAAACATGAGCACTTTGATAGACGACCCCACATTGCTGCGCAGCGATTCATCACAAAAACTTTCGTCCCATCGTTTAATACTGTCTTATTTACACAGAGGTGGATCCAGGCGGTCTTTTGGAAGGGGTGAGGGGACGACGAATGGGGAAGGGAGTGGGGCTTGTACCGGCGAGGAGCGGTGAGTAGATCTACGGATATGGCGACAACCGGGGCGGAGGGAAGGACGGAGGGGGGGGGGGG